AGTGGAACAAGGCCCACTCGGAGTCAATGTCCCCCACTGCTCTCGGGACGCGGTCAAAGTTCTGCCGGAGGTGGGAGTTGAAGACCGTCTTGACAGGTTCTTCTGCCAGGCGTTCCTAGCAGACCCTCACTATGCGTTTGGGTCTGCCAGGTCTATGCGGCATCTTCCCCTGCCATCTGATCCAACTCACCACCAGGTGGTGATCAGTTGACAGCTCTGCTCCTCTCTTGAGTCGGGTGTCCAGGCGGGCCATTCCTGCCAATCACACCCCTCCAGGTAATGCTGTATTTGTCCACGTGATTGCCTTGTCAGGATCCAGAGGTCAGGGAGGTCAGATGACCTCGGGGCACCCAGGTCCAGTATTTTGACCACACGGTAGCGACTTTCCACGGTCCAAAAGATGTCAACAGGCAATACAGGATGGAATCAGCTTGCGTCTCAGGGATTCTCTTAAGGAGTTGAACAATATCAGCTTTGATCTGCAGGAAGTTTTTCTCATCAGCTTTGCGGATACAAAAAGGTTCTTTCTCGACGTGTAAAAATCTGGGATGTTTATGGAGTATTAGCAACAGGTGGCCAATCTGAGCTATCTCAAGAACTTTCCAGTACTCTCCAGGACTGTTCAGAACTGAAGATCTCTCAGTCCGCTTTAGTTTTATAAGTTATTTGTTATGGTTTGGTCAGCCAATTAGAAGCTGACAGGAACATAGAGGTTACCAAGGCAACAGAAACACGCCTTCTTAATATGAAGACTCTGATCTGGGTGGAAGGTCTAGCTATGTGAAATGAATTTGACTTAGCCGTACTTGTTATGGTTTTTGAGCAGTGTGAGCAGGTATGAAAACCTTGTCGTCAAAACATGGTGAACACAGTCTATTAGATAAACGTAACATCCACTCAGTGGTTTAGATTAATGAAGCATTTCATTTCATTATATTTTTCCCAAAAGTAATAATAAGCAATTTTTTATTTAATGATTTAATAGATTAAAGTAATAAAAGGAGTTAGTAATGATTTATTATAATATTCTTGAGTTTAGCAACTTATTTGAGCTGCTCTTCTTTCTTCTGGAGGCGCAGATAAGACCTTGGGGAAAAAGTTAGTTCTTGTTTTGGATCAGACAAGTTGAGTCTGACTCCCAGCTGGTGTGAAGGCAGACTTGTTTAAAGGGAACACAAGCAATGTTGTGTCTCCTTAAAGAGCAAGTCAACCCCTACCAGTCTAACTCCACTCCCACTTCATGTTTGAAAAATGCAACACATGCTGTTGCCTGGCAGACCGAGAGGGCGGAGCCGCTAACAAATACACACACACTCAGGCTCACGACAGCATTGTGACATCATAATGTACCAGTTTACATCATAGCATACTTCTTAGCCAATAGCGGTGGCAGATTTAAATTAAAATACAGTGCAGAGTTTTTACCTGACAACGGCACAACACTGCCAGTTTTAGGCAGAATATTTAAATTTTAACTAAGATGCACTGAAGTGCCAAATTATTGACGACATGTGTCTGCAGCACAATTAGACACTCATTTATTTAGTTTATCAGCAAAAAAATGTTTATTTGGGGGTGACTTGCTCTTTAAAGACCAGATGTTGAATAGATGGTGGAAGGTCAGCTGTATCTAAACTGACCATTGCTGGACGCTACAGACCCCCCTTTCCAAGGGCACGGGGTCCTGGCAGAAACCACGGGTCGTTGGAACTAGTCAGAGGCCCTTGGGACTCAGTTGAGGAAGCACAGGTTAGTTTCCAGGCAAAGGCCCCTGGAGTGAGGAAAGCAAACCCCACACCAGAGAATAGTCAATGTAGCTCCTTAAACAACAACAAAAAATAATCCACTTCTGAGAAACAAAAGTAATCCACTTATCAGAATCCCCAGGAATGTAAACAGATGACCAGAGGCCGGTCCAGGCCCCAGGCGAACCGCAGAGCTCCCGTAAGTACGGCAGGAACCACAGGACGTCCAGACCCACACGAACCGAACCCTCAGTCAGCAGGCAGCTACATCAGGCGATGGTGTAGAGAGACCCGCCCAGGAAGCGACGATAACAGGCGAACCCAGAGGAGAAGAAGAGCAGACACAGGGCATTTCGATGTAGACACACATGGATGGCGCCTGATGCAAAACAAACAAAAATAAACCTAGCACTACATGTGCCTACATGTTTTATGTGAAGCAATTATGTGAACCCTGTATGTGCTATGTGAAGCAAATTATGTGAACGGAGTTCAGGTGATAGAAATGGATGTAGTAAACTACGTGTACTGAAAAATTGTTGCAAAAAGAACTAAATCAACATAACCCTATAATACAAGTAAGGGAAAATCAACGCTTGGAGCAAAATGTTATCAAAAAAGAAGGCAAAATAAACTGTAGCCCATAACTGGTAAAAATCTAAATAAAATTGATCATAATAGAAATGACAAAAGGAAATCAGCTGTAATGAAATAATGCAGAAATATATCTGTGATTATATGTTTAAAGAATCAGTAATACAGCTAATATAAAGAGGATAAAACACATTAATGTAAATCAGAGATATTAGTACTCAAACCTACATGTGAATATACACAGTAGAAATTAGAGATTAGTAAATAAAATGAAGTATATAAAAATTAATAAATGGACCCAAATTAGTCCTTCAGCGTACAAAAAAAAATAAAAATTTGTCAAAATCACTAGAAGTTGAAAAATACAAATTGCTTTTGGATCAAACATAACAGTTAGTGGATTTACTCACTTTTAACTGTCATGACCTAACAGAACCACAACAGTGTCATCCAAGTTCGTATGCTACATTTAGACATGAATTCTATCCACGCACACACATACACACAACAGAACTTGTGAGACCTGAAACAGGGAACCGAGGGAGAGTGGATGGAAAATTCACCCCCCTTTTGAGTCAATTTGATTTTGGTCAGCAGATCCATGGGTTGCAGCTTCGTCCAAATAGGCGGAACCCTTGTGTAATTTGATCTGATTTCTGTGGACCCACTTATAGATGGGATCTTTGTTCCATTCGGTGAACTTGATCTGATACACAATCGGAAAGAGTTTTTCAGTTATCCGGTATGGACCGGACCACTTCGGCACTTAGCCAGTTTGCCAGAGGTTGTTTTTGTTTGACGAGTATTTGGAGCAAAAATATAGAACCAGGCCTTATCACCCACGATGAGTTCAGAATGTGAGGTCTTCTGATCATAATAGGCCTTCCTGCCTTCAGCTGATCTCTCCAGATTTGTCTGTGCAAAAGAAAACGCTGCAGGCAGATGGTCCAAGTCTTGCAAATACTGCTCGTTGGTGTAAGCTGTATCTGCACTGGGTTGAAATGACTGATACAGCAAGTGAAGCGGCAGGGTCAATTGTCTACCCGTCATCATCTCAAACCGGGAGACGCCTGTAGACTCATGAGGAGTGGCCCTTATGGCCATAAGGACCAACGGAAGCTTCACATCCCAGTCTCTGTGATTAGAGGACACATATTTCTTCAACATGCCAAGAACTGTTCGGTTCATGCGTTCGACCTGGCCGGAAGACTGGGGCCAATAACCAATGTGGAAATTGGCCTTGACACCCAACATCCTCCAAAGGTGTTCCATCACCCCAGAGGTGAAGAGAGTTCCCCTATCCGAGTTAACACGTTCGGGGAGACCGAACCGGGAGAAGATGTGATTAATCAAGAGGACAGCAGTTGTCTGAGCCGTGTCGTTAGGTGCCGGCAAACACTCAACCCATTTGGTGAATGCACACGTCATGGTCAAGAAGTATTTGTTACCTCTGCTGGACTTGGTCATGGGCCCCACCCAATTGAATTGCAGGTCCGACCATGGAGTGGACGGCCCTCTGCTCTGAAGAGGAGCTCTGTGGATGGGGTTAGATGGTTGAAATTGGCAGCAAACCAAACAGCTCTGGATGTAGTCTGAGATGTCCTGATGCATCCCCGGCCAATAGCAACCTGGCTAAGGGCACTGAAAGGGGCCTTGACACCTTTGTGCCCAGATGAAGGAGAATCATGAGCTTGTACTATCATAGCCCCCCTTAGGGACTGTGGTGCCACAAGGATAGGTGACGACGGAGGCTTGGAGATGTGCATTAGCAAACCTTTAACCATCCTCAGCGTGACACGAACCCGAAAGAGAGCACGGAGCTCAGGAACGGAGCCAAGCTCGACAGAAGAAGGCAGATGAGCTGTCAGATAAGAAAGGTACAGGATCATCCTGCTGATTGCAGGGTCCCGGGCCTGGAGGCTGACAAGGTCGTTGTCAGAAAAGACTGGTTTAACAGACACGAAACCATCAGATGAGCAGGTCGGGAGTATATCACAGGGCTGTGCAGTCGCATTTATGTATTTGTAAGATGAAGTCTTCTGAAAAACAATGAAAACCTAGACATTTTATCAATCTATGAAATCTTCCCAGATGCCCCTAATAGCACATAAAAAGCAAAAATGTAACGGAAAAAGAGGTTTGGTCACCTTGCATAAAGTGCATGGTTGTTAACCGTTATTGCTGCTAGCTAACTGTTACCAGTAGATGAGAGAAACATTGCCCTCTTTTTTCTACTGCCAGCCTTGTACTTACATTTGCCGTTAATCCAACCAAACTTTGCCTACAATAGGCAAGATAGTGTTATAAAATTGTTTTATACGAGTGGTGTATAATTGTGGTCTTTGCATGTTTAGAGGTTTTTCTGTCAACACCATCAATCCATCCTTCCATCTTCTTTGCTTATCCGAGGTCGCGTCGCGAATATGTGACATAACGGATAATAAAATCATCATAAACTCATCGAGTAGAATCGCTTGGTGTCTTTAAGATCTGAAACAATGCATTTTAACAATAAACAGTTATTTTGATTCATTATTACTGTCAAGCAATCAAGTCTTATTAAACTTACTTTAGATAAAACATTCATTGGTCTATGGTTGTAATTAATCTGTAAAGTGGGAAAATCATTGTATAAAACAGAATATTAATCTTTTATTAAGGTTAAAAAGTCTCGTCTTCTCCAGGAGTCCTGCAGCACAGATAAGGAGCAGGAGAGGAACTTTGTTATGGCGGTTCCCCAGATGGCGAGGTCAAAAACAGAGCATTTGTTCTGGTTTGGAAAGCACAGTTTACCTTTAGCCCACTGATGAAGATGGCTGGGCAGTGTAATGACCTTTGGTATTACATGGCTTTCTTACACTACAGTGTGAATGGGTGAATGGCCTTGGGGGGGTTGGAGAACCCTAGAAGGCCCTATACAAATACAAGACATTTACCATTTCGAAACATTAAAATAATGCTCTTTGGTTCCCTTAGATCCGTTTCACTCCCACAGGTGTGGTCCTTGAGGTGTTTGAACCGCTCTTAGTCCGAGCTCTAAGCTGAGACCATGTTGCCATGGGAGACAGGGGCTGATGGCCCTGACAACACAGCTTACAGGATCATGAAGCTCCTCAAACCCTTCCACCACGATAAGGTGGCGATTCTGCGGAAGGGATTTTTTTCTCTTTAATTTTAGTTATTTTTAAAGTTTTTTATTATCTTTTTGTTTGTTTTCAAACCTGTTTATGTTTAATTTTCTTTTTTTGTTTATTTTGGTTTTAGTTTTAATGCTCATATCCATCTACATCCTCTACATCTGTGTTCCTATGAAAGGGTCGGTAATAAAGACATGACATAAACACTAAACAATGCAACAAAAGTCAGATTTTTGTTTCTCAGCCCGTTGATGTCAGCTTCTGAACCCTAACCCTAGCCCCCACCCCGCTCCGCCGCCTTAACTTTAGGTTAAACTAGAAAATCCCTGAAGAACTGTTAAAAAGGAACCTGGCACACATTTTCTGTTGGAATTCCCCTTGCCCCACCCCTTTTGATTATGTCATCAAAGCAAATCATTAATTATTTGGCAGGCCAATTAAAGAGGCATTTTTACAATGTTGTGTGCTAATTACGTTGCCATAAATAAGTAAATAAATAAATAAACTAGAAATATCCTGAAGAAGACAGCCGGGCTCCCCTTAGCTCCCCTGTAATTCGAAACACCCGATTATAAGTAAAGGTCTAAATTATTAGCACATGTGTTTCTAGCGCAGTTTGGGCGGCGTTGAAGCACCCCTAGATTGAAACCTAGCTTCCCTTAAAGTGCATGAAGTTCAAATGATAACACATGGTTATAGTTGAGCTCTAACCCAAACCCCTGAGTATATGATTGGACTATTAATCTAAATTATAAGTAAATCTAAATTATAAGTAAGTCTAAATTATAAGGAAAATCTAAAGTAAGAGTCATAAAAGTTTTTCTGTCCTTTCTCGCAAAAAAACCCATCTTTGTCACATTGTTTGGGTTCAGTTACTCGCATTTCTCTCATTAAATGCTGTTGGTCCTTCAGATTCTTGAAACTCTTCTTTGCTTCTTCAAACTCTATTTCCTGTTCCAGAGCCTGCCTCATCAGCTCTAGGCTTTCTCTCTCGTCTTTCAGAGTCTGAAGGACTGAATTCATTTCATGAAGTGAATCTTGCTTTTCCTGCTGAAAGTGAATCATATCTTCACTCAGACTCTTCCTATCAAGAATCAGATCTTCTAATCACTTCTTCAAAACCATTTGTTGCTCATGTAAACTAAGTTTTTCTGTTGCAATCAGTTCAACAAACTGATTCTTTTCCTCCTGCAGACTCTGTTTCATCAGGTCAAAATTTTTGCTTTCATCCAGGAGAGTCTGATACATTTCCAGATCAAGCTGATTTGGTTCTTTCTCTTTTTCCTCAAATGCCTCTTGGAGATGACTGTATATTTCTGCATTCTCCTTTTCAGATTCTGTCTTCTGTGTTTCAAAGTGAATCATTTCCTTCTGAAACATTTTCCTATCAAGAATCAGATCTTCTAATCCCTTCTCCAGATCAATTTGTTTCTCATGCAAACTAAGATTTTCTGTTTTCATCAGTTCAACAAAGTGAATCTTTTCATCGTGCAGACTCTGTTTCATCAGCTCTAAATGTTCCCTTTCATCCTGGAGAGTCTGATAAACTTCCAGATAAAGCTGATTTGATTTTTTCTCTTTTTCCTCAAATTCTGCCATCTGTTGCATCAGACTTTCCTTCTCGACATGTAAAATGTCTAACCCCTCTTGGAGACGACTGTATATTTCTGCATTCTCCTTTTCAGATTCTGTCTTCTGTGTTTCAAAGTGAATCATTTCCTTCTGAAACATTTTCCTATCAAGAATCAGATCTTCTAATCCCTTCTCCAGATCTTTTTGTTTCTCATGTAAACTAAGTTTTTCTGTTGCAATCATTTTTTCCAACTCCAGTTTTTCTTCCTCCAGGCTGTGTTTCTTCATTTCTAAACTATCTCTCTCCTCCTGGAGACCCCGCTGGATGTCTCGTAACGTCTGATAAGACTCTTTCTCCATCTCCTCAAATGTATTCCTCTGATTTTCCAGACTTTCTAGTCCAGCGTCTAAATATATAAGCCCATGTTGGAGATAATTGTACATTTCACTTATCTCCTCTTCAGATTTAGTCTGGGGAAGTTCAAAACTCATCATTCGTTCCTGCAGAAATTCAGTCTGAGCAGAAGGACTTTCTACCTCGTCCTCCGCAGCTGTTTCTGTATTATTTATGTTGAAGGTTTCTTTTTGATTTGCTTCTTCAAACTCTGTTTCCTGTTCCAGAGCCTGCCTCATCAGCTCTAAGCTTTCTCTCTCGTCTTTCAGAGTCTGAAGGACTGAATTCATTTCATGAAGTGAATCTTCCTTTTCCTGCTGAAAGTGAATCATATCTTCACTCAGACTCTTCCTATCAAGAATCAGATCGTCTAATCCCTTCTTCAAAACCATTTGTTGCTCATGTAAACTAAGTTTTTCTGTTGCAATCAGTTCAACAAACTGATTCTTTTCCTCCTGCAGACTCTGTTTCATCAGGTCAAAATTTTTGCTTTCATCCAGGAGAGTCTGATACATTTCCAGATCAAGCTGATTTGGTTCTTTCTCTTTTTCCTCAAATGCCTCTTGGAGATGACTGTATATTTCTGCATTCTCCTTTTCAGATTCTGTCTTCTGTGTTTCAAAGTGAATCATTTCCTTCTGAAACATTTTCCTATCAAGAATCAGATCTTCTAATCCCTTCTCCAGATCAATTTGTTTCTCATGCAAACTAAGATTTTCTGTTTTCATCAGTTCAACAAAGTGAATCTTTTCATCGTGCAGACTCTGTTTCATCAGCTCTAAATGTTCCCTTTCATCCTGGAGAGTCTGATAAACTTCCAGATAAAGCTGATTTGATTTTTTCTCTTTTTCCTCAAATTCTGCCATCTGTTGCATCAGACTTTCCTTCTCGACATGTAAAATGTCTAACCCCTCTTGGAGACGACTGTATATTTCTGCATTCTGCTTTTCAGATTCTGTCTTCTGTGTTTCAAAGTGAATCATTTCCTTCTGAAACATTTTCCTATCAAGAATCAGATCTTCTAATCCCTTCTCCAGATCTTTTTGTTTCTCATGTAAACTAAGTTTTTCTGTTGCAATCATTTTTTCCAACTCCAGTTTTTCTTCCTCCAGGCTGTGTTTCTTCATTTCTAAACTATCTCTCTCCTCCTGGAGACCCCGCTGGATGTCTCGTAACGTCTGATAAGACTCTTTCTCCATCTCCTCAAATGTATTCCTCTGATTTTCCAGACTTTCTAGTCCAGCGTCTAAATATATAAGCCCATGTTGGAGATAATTGTACATTTCACTTATCTCCTCTTCAGATTTAGTCTGGGGAAGTTCAAAACTCATCATTCGTTCCTGCAGAAATTCAGTCTGAGCAGAAGGACTTTCTACCTCGTCCTCCGCAGCTGTTTCTGTATTATTTATGTTGAAGGTTTCTTTTTGATTTGCTTCTTCAAACTCTGTTTCCTGTTCCAGAGCCTGCCTCATCAGCTCTAAGCTTTCTCTCTCGTCTTTCAGAGTCTGAAGGACTGAATTCATTTCATGAAGTGAATCTTCCTTTTCCTGCTGAAAGTGAATCATATCTTCACTCAGACTCTTCCTATCAAGAATCAGATCGTCTAATCCCTTCTTCAAAACCATTTGTTGCTCATGTAAACTAAGTTTTTCTGTTGCAATCAGTTCAACAAACTGATTCTTTTCCTCCTGCAGACTCTGTTTCATCAGGTCTAAATTTTTGCTTTCATCCAGGAGAGTCTGATACATTTCCAGATCAAGCTGATTTGGTTCTTTCTCTTTTTCCTCAAATGCCTCTTGGATATGACTGTATATTTCTGCATTCTCCTTTTCAGATTCTGTCTTCTGTGTTTCAAAGTGAATCATTTCCTTCTGAAACATTTTCCGATCAAGAATCAGATCTTCTAATCCCTTCTCCAGATCAATTTGTTTCTCATGCAATCTAAGATTTTCTGTTTTCATCAGTTCAACAAAGTGCATCTTTTCATCCTGCAGACTCTGTTTCATCAGCTCTAAATGTTCCCTTTCATCCTGGAGAGTCTGATACATTTCCATAATAAGCTGATTGCATTCTTTCTCTTTTTCCTCAAATTCTGCCATCTGTTGCATCAGACTTTCCTTCTCGACATGTAAAATGTCTAACCCCTCTTGGAGACGACTGTATATTTCTGCATTCTGCTTTTCAGATTCTGTCTTCTGTGTTTCAAAAAGAATCATTTCCTTCTGAAATTTTTTCCTGTCGAGAATCAGGTCTTCTAATCCCTCCTGCAAATTGTTCTGACTGTTCTTTAGACGAAGTCTTTCTGCTTTTATCAGTTCAAGAAAGTGAATCTTTTCCTCTCGCAGCTCCTGATTCATCCGTTCTCTCTCTTTTTGCAGGAGTTCCTTATTATTCTGATCCAATTTGTCCTGAACTTCCACAGATTTGAGTTTCTGCCGCTCCAGGCTTTGTTTCTCAAAGTCTAACGATTTGTAGCCTTCCTTGAGAATGCTGTATATTTCTTCATGCTCCTTTTCTGTTTCAGCCTTTGCTTTGTCAAAGTTCAACTTGTCTTCCTGCAGGGCTTTTGTCTGGAGAATTACATCTTGAAAGCCTTTCTGTAAATTATTTTGACTTTCAGTTAACTTTAGCTTTTCTATTTGAAGCTTATTTTTAAAATCAATCTTCTCTTCCTCCAGAGTTTGCCAAATAAGTTGTAGATTTTCTTTCTCTTCTTGCAGAATCTGTCGAGCATTTTCATTCTCCAGCTTTGAGCTAGACTTATGCTGTTCGAACTCGTCTCTCTCAGCTTGCAAAGCTTGTCTCAGTTCTTCAAGTTTGTTTTCTGAAAATTTCTTTGATTCATCAAAATCGAATTTCTCTTTCTCCAGATCTCTTTTCATCTGGTTTATTTCTTCAATCGCATTTGCTTTGCTGTCTTGCAGCGATTTCCAAAGCTTTTCCGTTTTAGATTTTTTCGTAATCAAATCTTCTAGAAATTCCTGATTTGATGTTTTAACTTCTTCAATCTGCTTCCATTCTTTTTGAATTTCTGTCTTAGCTGTGTCCAAATCTTTGCTTTCCTGCTCAAGCCTCCGTTTCTTTTCTTCTAGACGTTGATTTTCGTCTTCCAAATCATCTTTCTCTCTCTGGAAAATGATTTTAAGCTCATCCTTGTAGTCGTTAATTTTTTTCAGAACTTTAACAAAATCCTGCTTATCATTGAAGAGAATCTGTTTTTCAGTTTCTACAGACCTTAATTCGTCCAGTAGATTCTTGCGACTCTCTTGTAAATCCATATGATTTAGGTTGATAGCTTCAGCGGTCATCTGTGCTAGTGGCTAGTTCCTGTCGCGGTGATAGACTGTTGGTTTCTGACCTGTTGAGTGATGTCATAAAGGCTTTGTCAGTCTGGACTGTACCTGTCACTACGCATGCGTGGTACCGGAAACCCGATCGGTACCACGCATGCGCAAAAGGCGTCTACTTCCGCTCGAAGCATTTTACGATAGTTACGGGTCAGAGAGTATCAATAAGTATCTATTAAACTGTATGCAATGTTGAAACATTTCAATATAATGTAGATAAAAAGAAAAAAAACAGAAAACGTCGGACCGTACAGATCGGGTCTACTTGATCCGTACCGCGCATGTGCAGATGTTCTGCTCTTCTTGTGATCCGTTCAATGGCAGTTTACTCCGCAGTGTACGAGGATACTGCCACTTGCTGACCGGGCGAATTAGCCCGATTGTAAACTGATTTTGCATTGTTACAAATCGTGTTTTTATATCCGTGTTAAATTTGATTTAGTGTGTTTATGCTTGTATGTGTGGAGACGATTGATTGGAATTATCTTGATGTTCTGTTGATAATGTCCACTGTAAATTGTCAGTAAACACTGCTGATTAGTCTTAGGTAACCTATTACATTTGTTTTTTCTCCACTCAATAGGTTATATTTTCATTTAAAAGCTGAATATGTGTCATTGTGATACAGCAGCTATTCATAATTTGCACTACATGTCCTATGAATGTTTTCCAATATGAAATGTAATAAATTCTTACACAAAGCCAATTTGGCTCATCACCTAAAATTTGTTTACTTTCTACTTTTGTGTTAGATTTCTTAGTTTGCCACTTTGTCTTGAAATAACTTAATTCTTTGTAATACCATAGTGATCATTTTCACAATGTTGCAAAATTAATGTTGTAAAATAGTTTCTCATGGTATTCATAGGTTAAACATTTGTTAAATACAGATTTAACTACACTCATGTTTATATCCATATAAAATAACACAGGACCACTTTATAATTCCCACAGGTTTACTGTAATAATGCGGAACACAAACAACAGATTACAAGAGCATGAACAACAGAAAAAGGATTGAGAGGATGGTTACAACCCAGATTATTTGAATAAGGAGACACATATTGATGGAAATAAAAAGCGTTTTATTTTCAGCGTGTCCTTTCTGGCAGTGTGGCACTCTGAGTACCAGGTACAAGCCCAACAGATTCACTTTCTCAAACAGAGCATTACAGGTTTTGCTAAAGTACTCCAAGAAGAATGATCAAAAACTCTCAAAGAAAAACAGGCATCAAAACACAAACCAAGATGTGAGAGAACCACTGATGGGGAACCTGGTCACTACAACCAGGGTGGTGTGTGTGTGTTCTTGTACATACTACATACTGAGGACCATTTTCCCTACAAAGTGAGGACATTTTTTGGTCCTCACTTTTTTAGAAGCATACCAGAAGCTTCCCAGATAGCAAACGGACTCCAGACTGGATCCGTCCTGGAGGTACCGTAAGCTTTGGAACGGATCAGCAAAACGGACCCGTATCATATCCGGTGAGGAGTCTGTCCGGATCAACTCCTTTGGCACATCATCCGATCCGGGTCCGTTTTGGAAGGGTGCATAAAACTCATCATCCAGTCAGGATCCGTTTTGGATCAGATTCGCCTTTGTGTGCGCTTTCACGAAGAAAATAATCCAGCCTGTTTTTTTTTTTTTTATAATTGGAATTCCTTAATGTTTAATTAGTAAATGAAAACATGCAGTAGCTGAGAAGTCTTTACAGAAAATAAGAGCTTTGGAGTAAATGATTTAAAATTATCTGTCACACCACACTTATCCTTTATGTTAAAGGAAATACACACCCAAACCATAAAAGTATTTTGATGAATATTTATTTGTAGTAATACAAACTGTATAAAAAAACTGTCTGTTACATGTGCAAGCAAAGTATAACAATAGTAACGCAAACAGTATTAAAAAATTGTACCAGACTGTAATTTGTGTTAAAAAGATGAATGCTGGTCAGCGGGTTGAACTTCTTGTGTACCACTACGTCGCCTTGAGCAGTCTCAATCTGCTGCCAAGTTAAACCAGCGGATAGCATGTTTACATATGTCGTGGTCAGTGGAAGCGCAGGAGATGGGATTTTTTCTCACAGAATCTGCAATCACAAAAGCAGATTTAAATGTTAATCATCATCCACCACCACAATTTTCTATTGCAACAGGACAATCTCCACTAATATCATCTTTCTGTAAGCAGAAAATAATTTGTCAACTAAAGCTCTCAATACTATTTCTTCTTTTATTAGACCAGCTTTAGAAGTAGCTATACAAGTTTATATTGACGCTGTGTAGCGTTTATAAGAAGTGAAACGCTGGAAACAATACCTCAGTGTGTGAATAGCAAAGGTATGAACTGGCTGGTAGCAAGAGTTGTCGTAGTGGAGCACATATTGTTGACCCAGAAAAATGTGTGAACATTTTAAAATGGGTACTTACGCAGGAGCAGTGTTTTTGATGACATCTGGTTGAAAGACTTCTTCCCATTGACACCTTTCCAATTAATCAGCTTTCCAACATCATCGTGGAAAATGTGTGCCAGGATGTTCCACGTTATGCGTTTGGTGTCATGGCCCCCAAAAGCTGCCAGCGAGGAAATCTAAAACGGAACAAACAAAAAATAATGAAATCATACATTAAAATAAAAAAACACTGTAAGCCCAGGGTGGATAACCCCAGTCGTCAGGTGACATCAACTTTACTCAACCGACCCTTTCACAGAGCATAATTACATACAGTGAAAACAAACAAAACTCACCAACTTCTGCTTCAGCTGGGAATGTGCAGCATCTTTGAGCCAGTTCTCAAAAGGGTTCACTTCCTCCACTGAAGTTAATGGCAACTGGACCGGAATCTGCACCTGCATTTCCTGGGGAGTTGCATCCAGCTTCAATTCAATTCAATTCAAGTTTATTTATACAGCGCCAAATCACGACAAGAGTCATCTCAAGGCACTTCATATAATAAAAATTCCAATTCAGGTCAGTTCATTAAGCCAATCAGAAATGTTTCCTATATAAGGAACCCAGCAAATTGCATCAAGTCACTGACTAGTGTCAGTGACTATACAGCAATCCTCATACCAAGCAAGCATAAAGCAACAGTGGAGAGGAAAACTCCCTTTTAACAGGAAGAAACCCCCAGAGGATCCTGGCTCAGTATAAGCAGCCATCCTCCACGACTCACTGGGGATCGAGAAGACAGAGCAGACACACACACACACACACACACACACACACACACACACACGGACAAGTAATGTGTCTATAGTTATATTGTGATGTCTTAGTAAATATTCTATTTGGTGAAAGATAAACTTTATTGTATTTATCCTAGTGGATCTCTAATTAAACGGATAAACTAGTATTAGCACATCAAAAGTCAAGGAAACCAAAAAGTTATTATCAGGAGAGAGAGAATGTTTTAGTGGTTAGCAGCAGTGTACTAGTCGATGGCCCCCTCCATGAGGCCACCACAGCTCAGCAGTGCGTCATTGTAGCTTCTTCTGGGGAGAAAAACACTTACAGAGAAAATAAAGTTAACAGCTGAAATTGGACAAAATAGTACAGTTAAAGAGCAGATTGTAGAAGAAAGCAGTAGAGTGTGAGAAGTGGTCAGTGTGTCCTCCAGCAGTCTAAGCCTATAGCAGCATAACTACAGAGATAACTCTGGATAATCTATCCTATTTAGATGTAGGCATGTTGGAGGCAGGGCAAGGGAGAGCCGTCTTTACCGACTGTACACTCCACCTCCCTGTACTCCCCCAGGTTAAATAATTAACCTTGGCTTCTAGTTGCTCCATCTGTTTTTTTAGATGCTCCAGCAAGTCCAAAATCTGGGCTTCTGTGGCTGTCGGGAAGAATAATAGAAAATATACATCAATCAATTTTATCAGATTGGAAAACATTATGTAGCAGATAAACTTTATATTTTATATCATTTTTAAAAAAAAGTAATTAATTCAAACCAACAAAAAAAAAAATACTCACCAGAGCAGGGAAGGGTGCCCGAGTCAAACCTTCTCCCTCGCCAGGCAGGTGTGTGCACCTGGCTTGCAGACAAGGTTTGTTGTTGGCATGGTGGTGGTTCAACAGCAGGAGATGGTGGTGGCAGGATAGCAGGAGCTGGTGGCTGTATAGATGTTTTGGATTGGCTTCTGGATTTCTTTCTTGGATGTTCGTCTTCACTATCATCAGAATCCCCCAAGAAATGACTATAAATTGGACAGGGAAATAACACTCAGTTGTCATGGTACTATCATTTCCATAATCTTTAAGTAGTTATTTAAGTCAATTTTTTATACTAGGTATTGTCTTCTCGGACATAGAAACTTGGATAAATGTTCCATACACGACATTTGCATGCATGTTTCATTTACAATTCACAGGAAAATACAGAAAGATGCTTACATCGCCTTTGGCTTCCTCTTGGGTCGCACGTCCTCTTCCTCCTCTTCTGTCTGCAGGTCGGAAGTGTGGCATGACAGCAACTTAATTAGTTGTTGTCTTGCCTCGAAGTACTGATCTAAAATTTGGCAAAACACATTTTTCAGATAATTGAAAGATTGAAGACATACTTATTATATAAAAAATATACATAATAAGTAGCTTACCACTTGATTTAAGAATTCGGACATCATATGTCTCCCAGTCAGGTCCCGGCTCCTCTGCGTTTTTTACTGCCCCGTTCACCCTTGCATCACTTTTATAATTCGGCCAACAGGTCACGCCGTCACTGTACCAGTTCTCGGGCACCACTGCTACAGTTTTTTTGACCGTGAACTCAACTACAAGTGCTGGCCAGTAAATTAGAATATCATCAAAAGGTTGAAAATATTTCAGTAATTCCATTCAAAACGTGAAACTTGTACATTATATTCATGCAATGCACACAGACCAATGTATTTCCAATGTTCATTACATTTAAATTTGATATTCATAAGTGACAACTAATGAAAACTCCAAATTTGGTATCTCAAAAAATTAGAATATTCTGAAAAGGCTGAATATAGAAGACACCTGCTGCCACTCTAATCAGCTGATTTACACAAAACACCTGCAAAGGCCTTTAAAAGGTCCCTCAGTCTTGTTTTGAAGGCACCACAATCATGGGGAAGACTTCTGACTTAACAGCTGTCCAAAAGACAATCATTGACACCTTGCACAAGGAGGGCAAGACACAAAAGGTGATTGCTAAAGAAGCTGGCTGTTCGCAGAGCTCTGTGTCCAAGCACATTAACAGACAGGCGAAGGGACGGAAAAAATGTGGTAGAAAAAAGTGTACAAGCTCTAGGGATAACCGCACCCTGCAGAGAATTGTGACGACAAACCCATTCAAAAATGTGGGGGAGATCCACAAAGAGTGGACTGCAGCTGGAGTCAGCGCTTCAAGAACCACCACGAGGAGACTCATGAAAGACATGGGATTCAGGTGTCGCATTCCGTGTGTCAAGCCACTCTTGAACATGAAACAGCGCAAGAAGCGTCTCGCCTGGGCCAAGGACAAAAAGGACTGGACTGATGCTGAGTGGTCCAAAGTTATGTTTTCTGATGAAAGCAAGTTCTGCATTTCCTTTGGAAATCAAGGACCCAGAGTCTGGAGGAAGAGCGGAGAAGCACAGAATCCACGTTGCATGAGGTCCAGTGTAAAGTTTCCACCGTCAGTGATGGTGTGGGGTGCCATGTCATCTGCCGGTGTTGGCCCACTCTGTTTCCTGAGGTCCAGGGTCAATGCAGCCGTCTACCAGGAAGTTTTAGAGCACTTCATGCTTCCTGCTGCTGACCAACTTTATGGGGATGCAGACTTCACCTTTCAACAGGACTTGGCACCTGCACACAGTGCCAAAACCACCAGCACCTGGTTCAAGGACCATGGTATCCCTGTCCTTGATTGGCCAGCAAACTCGCCTGACCTTAACCCCATAGAAAATCTATGGGGTATTGTGAAGCGGAGGATGCAATACGCTAGACCCAACAATGCAGAGGAGCTGAAGACGACTATCAGAGCAACCTGGGCTCTCATAACACCTGAGCAGTGCCACAGACTGATCGAGTCCATGCCACGCCGCATTACTGCAGTTATTGAGGCAAAAGGAGCCCCGACTAAGTATTGAGTGCTATACATGCACATTCTTTTCATGTTCATTCTTTTCAGTTGGCCAACATTAGAGAAACAAACATTTTTTCATTGGCCTTTAGAATATTCTAATTTTCTGAGATACCAGATTTGATGTTTTCATTGGTTGTCACCTATAAATATCAAAATTAAACGTAATGAACATTGGAAATACATTGGTCTGTGTGCATTGCATGAATATAATGTACAAGTTTCACGTTTTGAATGGAATTACTGAAATATTTTCAACCTTTTGATGATATTCTAATTTACTGGCCAGCACTTGTAGGTGGAACATCCTAATTAAAAAGGAGAAACACAAAACATTATGTTCACAAATATGAAACTTTTACTGAAGATGCAATTGATCAAATACTTTCTGTAACTAGTAGGTAATGTTGGGTGGCATCTATGGATGTTTAAATAATGTTATTTTAAAGGAGATAATTTCTGTATTCCAATATTTTAATAGAAAATTTGTGGATGTTTTCTAACAGCTTCTATGTCCTGCGATGTTGTTTCAACATGCTTGTTTATTTACATCTTCTACTTTGCACACACACACGCACACGTACTTACAGTCAGATGTTATCCAATTCAAACGTAGGAGCAATTCTAAATATGTCACTGTCAGTCTCTGACCCTCACGGCTAACATCATTTTAACAAAACCACTATATTACAAGGGGAAATGTGCATCAATGACTTTTAAATAACCTTCAAAAAAGATTCTGCTATATATGGCTATTGATAGGCAAACAATAAACAGTTGCAATGATAGATCAATTAATTTCAAATAAAACAGTTGTATTCAGAAGCAAGTACACATCTATTTTTGTGTGTAGTTGCACCACTAAAATGTGAGAAACAGGGGGATGACCACAAACCCATCCTTATGTGGAAGAACAACACATTTTTTCACAAGCTCTGAAACTTTAACACACTTCAGTGTGTCTGATGTGTGAGAAATTGTATAAATATTTAGATAGTCAGAGTTGCAGTGGACGGCTGGCCAGTAGAGGGCTATAGGGCGCCGCCCTCCCAGTTTTCCCCATCGTTTTAAATTTTTATTTTAAAAAATAAATAAATGAAATTAACAATAACCGCATATTCTAAGTTAATTGTGTGTTTTGTAACAAAAACAAATCATATATATATATATATATATATATATATATATATATTGGTCTCTGCCGACCTGTGGAGGCGACAGAAAGGCTGTGGGCTGTGTTTCAATCGCCCAAACAGGACGGCACCAGCCGACCAATTGCTGACAAGAAAATCAAACGGTAGGAATGGGAATGTATCCAATCAGCGTCGACGTTGTTTCAGAAGCATGATGGGCGATAGAGCTACCGCCAAAGGCTTTCGTTGGAGTTCGGTAGAACTCGGAGAGTCTCGACTACTCCAGCACGTTTTTGGTCGTGACGCAGAGCCTACAACCAGGATACCGGATCTCAGCAGCCACTGAATTCAGTTCGGTCTCTTCTCCAGTATCCGTTCGAGAGGAGAACTATGGTGGAAAAACTTAATGTCAAAGAGCTTGGACCAGATCAGCCCGACGTAAAGATAAGCCAGCAGGACAAGGAGAAAGGTAAACTGTACACACTAGGCTTCTCCCGAAATTGGTACACCAGGAAGGCTTGGCTACCTGGATGCAATCACGCTAATGCGTTATTTTGCTTTCTGTGTTTGTTATTCAAAACGGCTGGGATCCACAGTAATGTGGATGTGGAACTTGTGTCTCATTGGGGACTCCATTCATTCTCTGACTGAGGAATGCAGCGCATCAATGCAGCAGCAGCCAACAAAGAAACAGAGGACGTTTGCCAAGGGAGAACAACAGCAGCTGGGTGCAGAGGTAAACTGTACATTACATTTCTGTGAACAAGACAATCAGAATCAGAAATCCTTGGTTGTCCCACAAACCGGGACATTTGTTTAATAACATGTACATTGTTTAATGTGCAATAACTGTAAAAACTCATTTCAACACACATACCTATTATACATATTTAATCACGTAAATGTGTATTTCAAGTAAATTTGTACATACATCAATCTGATTCCATTTTACTTGTTACACTTCTGCTGCAGCAAACAAATTTCCCAGCTTTTGGGACAATGAAACATTTCTGATTCTCAATCAGATGTTTTTACATTTGAAGTAAAAACATCTCATTGAGAACCAGAAATGTTTTATTGTCCCAAAAAGTGGGAAATATGACATTTGTAAGAGGATACTGATGACATTATTTCCTATGAAAGTGTTTCCACTTTCCATAAGTCCTAACAGTGTAAATTTCTGGCATTTTGTCTAAGTGGTGTTTACTACCATTACTGTAACAGTGACCTGCTCATAATTTTTCGTGTTCACTCAAATGTTGAAATTAAACAAAATGTTTTTGTTACTTGCCTCTTGCATTGCCTATTTACCATTTATGGTCATGTTATTTTATGTGCAATTTACAGTAATGCAGTATTTTTCAACCTTGGTCTGCAAGGCAGCGTGCCAATAGTCAGACACACCTGGATTAATCAGTTTGTCCAATGATGTAAGACAGGAAATAAAAGAGCTGTGCTTAATTCAGGAAATAGTGAAGTTGTGCACAAAGCTCAGAAAGCACAAGTTTGTTTAAAAAAAAAAAGCACAGCCCCACCAAAAATATTTTTCACCAGCCGCCACTGCAGAGTTGAATGGGTAAGTGAAGAACAAAGACTTGTTTGAAAATTCTTTGTAAATCACATATACTCCATCATTGCACTCTATAATATTATGTATGCAGCAAATGTCATTTCCAATGACAAAAACATTATCTCTGGATGAAATTTTAACTGTCCACTTGTCACAGGTCATCTCACCATACTGAGCTTTGACTGACAATCCACCTACAATTGGACCAACATAATGCTGCTTTTTAAAAGAGGGACCACTTAAAGGAGCATCAATGGTTTTTAACTCTGACAATCGACGAACAATTTGGGCAAGGAGAAATTCTGGTTTTCTGACTAGTTTTTTAAATCTGTGCAAGTAACTTTCATATGGAAATGCAGAAAAAGAATCAAGACAACCATGTCTCTGTACTTCTTCTGGCAGATGAACCAATGCATGTACATTATAAACAATTTCATCTTTTCCATATATGTCAGCAAAGTGATCAATGAATGATTTCAGTATAGTCTGTGCATACTGTGCGTGGCAGCATAGTTTAGAGCTTACCAAAAATGCAACGCCAGTGAAAAGCAGCATGTAATTTCTGTACATGTTGCAATCCAGAAAAGCACCTAGCATTACAGGGCCAGTGTACAGCAGAAACTGTCTTAATTCAGTGGCCTTTCAACGATCCAATTCCCTCAGTGATCTGGGCTTACGGGCAAATTCTACGGGGACATAGGAACGCATTTCTAACAGTTTAGCTGACATCATTTCCACTACATTTGCTGGTACTCTGACATTCAAGGGACCCCTCAACCAGATATTTAGCATTCGCCGAACAACACCTAAGTGTAATGGGTATTACAATTAAATAATATGAAATAGGTATTGAACTATTGTCTTGACAACTCTGGACCAGTATCAAAAGTTCTAGGTAAGATTATGGAGCCTTGAAAGGATCAGCAGAGAAGGAACCACACAATGACAGATAAGATATGATTTAAATAGAAACTGTATTGAAAAGTTGTAAAGTTTACAAACACTGCCTGTCTAAGCCGGCTTCCTACAGTGCACAAACGCACATTAAAGGACTCAAAATAAAACCAAAACCAACACCCTCTTTGAGGAAATTCTCCAAAGAGTTTAAATTAAAGAGCTTCCACTCCTGTTGCTCAGTCCACTTCTCTTTGGAAAGAGAAATTAGAGTTTCTTGTGTGTGTGTGTGTGTGTGTGTGTGTGTGTGTGTGTGTGTGTGTGTGTGTGTGTGTGTGTGTGTGTGTGTGTGTTTCTGTCCAGTGGTTCTAACACTACCTGGGTAGATTTTTTTTTAAAATGTCAGTCTTATCTGTGTCAAGGGATGTAGTGATAGTCCTGGGGCTCGCTGAAGATGGATCCCACGGCTGGCCACACCGTACTCTGGTCCGTCTACAGTCACTCTCTTGGAACTGGCTCGCCACTGAACCCACAAGGTTCAGATCTCAAATGATCCGGTCCTGGTCAAAAAAACAATCTATGCACACAGGGCAGAGTGCATACATTACTATTTTATCTATGCTCCTTCCATCACTCATCTTTAGTTACACAATGTCTCAAGCATCATGAAATAACTTGAGTTGCATCACACAAGGTTTTAGCGCAACAGAAAATATACCTTATATTTACCCTTTTAAAAATAAATAAATTTGTAAGATTCACTCTCCCACATTTATCTTTTTTTCCAGCTTGCTTTTAACTGTTCTTCCTGTTCAGATATTTCAACTGAATTATTTCTCAGAAAAATATATCAACTTCTTTAAACACTAATACATTCAACAGAGTAATGAGATCCTTCACATTTTATAATCCCATTTTATGAACTTTTTGCATCTTTATCAAATGAATTAACTTTTAAATCAACAACTAAAGGGTGCCTTTAAGCACTACATGACGATATTACTGTTTCTCCAACGTTTTGGAAAGCTAGCAAACTCAAATGAATCACAGCAATATTAGAACACACAGAAATTGCTAAGCAGTAGCTTAATACTAGCGGTTAGCTGGGCACATTTTAACACTTAAAAATAAACGTCTGCACATCAGTGATGTTACAGTACTTTAAACATAAATATCACAACTCTGACTGGTCGTTTTTAAACAGGAAATATATTAACAGCAGTCAACTACATGTCTTTATGGTGCTAACATTCATGTAGCATCCCTTACCGGAGCTCGTGGTGAGATAGCTCGCCCGGCTGACGCAGCTTCCCACGGCCGTATTTCACAGAATTCAGATCCTAATAAATAGCCATCTGTTAAAAGCTAGTTGGTGAAGATGAATTGCGAATTAAACTTTTATTTTAACTTTTCTTACCAGGATCTTTCAGTTAATCTGGCGGTTGCCTCGTGAGTAACGGCTTTCACAACAGGAAATGTTGACTAACAGGAAGTCATCTCAAGGCATACTCGCCTCCTAGTGGCGGAGAGGGAAATCACACCTTCAACTAGGGCTGTCGCGGTTGAGGAATTCCCCCTGCGGTGATTCAGGGTGGCTTAATATTGCGGTGTGCGATATTATTGCAGCACTTTTTTATTGCAGTACTATCTAAGCATAATGTTTACACATTTAAAAAAGGTTAAAAATTGCCGTGCCTTCTTTTATAACACTTTACTGAATGCAGATCAAAGGGCAGTAACAACGCAGATCGCAGTAACGCTTGTTTCTCCGACAGTCGGAGTCTGACTGAACTTAAAAACAACAAAATTCAGGAGGTTAAACTTTTAAATGCAAATTTGGCTGCAGCATCTAACAAATAAGAAACAAGTCCCCATTTTGTTTAGTTGTTTAAAATCAAGCATAAAAAATTACATGTACCGGGCGCGCGCGCGCGCGCCGGGGGGCGGGCGCACTATCATTTCACTTTCACACACACGAATGACGGTGATTTATAGCTCGGTCACGTCCTTGTTACCTACAAGGAAAACCAGCATGTTAACTACGGTTTGAGAGAGGATCTGAGAGGGGCGGCAACATTTGCAGCAACACTGAAAAGCCTCTCGGATGGTGCGCTCGTTGCACTAACACACACGTACTTGCGTGCGACTCTGGCGAGCAAAGGGAATCTCCCGTTTGTTGCTCCACCATGTCACGGGGGTTTTCTTTAGGGTGGATGCATTCCTCCTGCAGGTAGCGAGTGAGCTCCAGCTCGGCTCAAACTCTCTTCAGGACGGTTGCAGAAGCAGTGCTTGTCCGGGACTTCAGCAGGTCTCCGAGCGTTTATTTATTTATTTATTTGCCGCTGGTGGCAGCTCTGTCTCGGCCAAGGACTCTGGCTGCGCAGCAGCTGACGTACTGAAAACCAAAGCGCTCCCACAGGAGCGAAGTAACGTTTCGTTTTGATACCAGTGCAGCCATCCTTCTCAACATGCATCATTGAGTTGAACCAAGTTCAGTAATCGCGGTGGCGCATGATGCAGCGCGGTGGGCTTCTTCATATCGCGATATTTCATTTTTGCGGTTACCGCGACAGCCCTACCTTCAACCATATGCCGCAGCACAAACCACAATTCTGATGTGGATTACACTCTCCCCTCCTGAACTCTTGCACGTCCCTGTGCATGACAAGGTTCACACAAATGTCTCTTGGGGGTAAAGGCAAGAGTAGAAGCATGTGCTTCACCTTCATTTACCATGTCATTCCACGCATCGGTCAACCCTTGGAAGAAGGACTTTACCACGGTGACAATTGGGTTCCCCAATTCAGTGTAGTTGAGCCTCATTGGTGGTTGGCGACCCCGCTCAGACCTCCTAACATGGGTATCAGTGTCAGCTCGTTCCTCTACTTCACCATTCTCCTCCTGTCCTTCAGTTCTAGGCATGGACGTAATTTTCACTTTAGAAGTGGGGGGGACACGGGGGTGGGTGGGTGGGGGGGTTGTATCTTTACAGTATGCTCTAATGGGAAACAGGCTTCAACACAAACGGTTGTTTTCCGCTTGGTCCTAGAGCTCAACCAGTGTCAATTTAATATAGCGTAATATTGTTTTTGGATGGTAAAAAGTGCAGGGGTCAAAACTTGACTTTGGAAAAAGTGGGGGGGGGGGGACATGTCCCCCCTGTCCCCCCCCCCCCCCCCCCCCCCAAAAAAAAAAATTACGTCCATGGTTCTAGGATCATTCATCACATCCTCCAACCCTTCCGGGAGGACAGGGATCTCTTTAGGTTGGTCCTCACTTAAGTCCTTGACCTTGTTAAGCAACTCCTCTTCTCCCGAACTGCAATCCAGCGGCATCCTTTGTCCCTCAGATTCAGTGGATGCACTATCATCCACCTTTGCTCCTCCCACAGACTCATGGAGTTCAAGTGCTGGTACGTTCGCAGCAGGAGGTGCGGTCTCACCATCCTCTGGAGTCTGCTCATCGCCACAATGATCTGTTCTGTGGTAAATTGATGTGACCTCAGGCATAACATTGGCACCTTCCAGAACGTCCGTTGACTCGGCAGAGATTGGTGTCAAGTTATGCTTGGTGTGACTGGAACCTAGGTCTCTTGGGGCATTTTTTGTTGCAGCACCCCTAGTCGTCTCTGAGAGTGGTTGTATTTCAAACCAAGCAATGGGAACAATGTCCTCCTCATCTGAAGACTGGTCAAGCTTCGTTGTGCTGCTAGGAGTACTCTGACGTGTCCTATGCTTTCTAGCTCGTTTGGGCTGAGCACGCTCCTCCGTTGGTGCAGCAAGAAATCCGCATGGGAGTAGGAGGTCGCGATGCAGCGTGCGCTTGGGACCCTCGTTGTTCTCTGGTCTAACTGTATAGACTGGAAGGTCTCCAGCTTTCTTCACTACCACATGGACTGTGGATTCCCACTTATCAGCGAGCTTGTGCTTTCCTCGAATACACACGTTTCTGACGAGTACTCTGTCGCCAACGCCTAAAGCAGAAGGACTTACTCGCTTATCAAACAGAATCTTATTCCTCTCAGCTACCTTGGCAGCAGTCCTTGTGGCAACTTCGTAGCTCTGCTCAAGACGAGATTTAAGGTCTTGTACGTATTGGGAATGTGACTTGTGTCGCTGTTCTTTCACTGGTAACCCAAATGCGAGGTCAACAGGCAACCTTGGCCGGCGTCCAAACATTAGTTCATATGGTGTGAACCCAGTCACCTCACTCCTGGTACAGTTGTACGCGTGAACCAACGGCTTTACATAGTCCTTCCAGTGAGATTTTTCTTGACTTCCTAGAGTGCCAAGCATGTCTAATAGAGTGCGGTTGAAGCGTTCCACCGGGTTGCCTCTCGGGTGGTATGGTGTTGTTCGCGTTTTACGGATGCCCGCAATCTGACAGAGTTCTTTGATCAACCGCGACTCAAAGTCAGGACCTTGGTCACTGTGCAGCTTCTCTGGGAATCCATAATGGACGATGAAATCGTCCCACAACCACTTTGCAACTGTTCGAGCCTTTTGATTTTGTGTCGGCCCAGCTACAGCATACTTGGTGAAGTGATCAGTGATCACGAGAATGTCCTTTGTGTTGCTTCTGTCCGGTTCAACAGACAAAAAGTCCATGCATACCAATTTGAGTGGTCGTGTAGTCATTATATTCACCAGAGGTGCAGCTCTCTCAGGTAGAGCTTTCCTGCACACACACCGGGTACACGTTCTTATTTTCTTCTCAATGTCCGAAGCCATTCTTGGCCAGTAGAATCTGGCTCTGACAAGATCCACGGTGCGTTCCTTTCCCGTGTGACCCATGTCATCGTGTAGGCTTCTCAGAACCACGTCTCGAAGTTCTTCAGGCAAGACTAACTGATGTTGTGTGTGTCCCTCTTCTAAGCGTGTTCTATAGAGGATGCCATTTCGGAGCTCAAACTTGTTCAACTCTCTCAACAAGAGAGGCAGATCTGGAAGCTCGGTTCTTAGACTAGGTGGTGGTTTCACTCCTTGCTCAATCTGGGAAATGACATGCTTAATGCACTGATCAGCTCGTTGCTTGTCCCTGAGGTCCTCTTCTGAAAGGTTTGGAATGATGGGTAGTCCTCCAAGCCCATCCTCATGCCCAAAGCTGTCAGGCACTGCATCTGCAGAAATGGCCAGACTTTCAACCAGAGAGATACCACCATCACAGACCATTGCATTGTCGGCGTAATAGATAAGTTGTCTCTCACAAATGGCTTGAACGACTTCTGGTTTAACCACTTCAATGTCTTCTGGGTCAGATAGGTGATGTTGAGTGAAACAACGTATCCTGTCCCACTCTTTCTGAGACGGTAAGTCGTCATGCAGATTGCTGTGAGGCCGTCGTGACAACGTGTCAGCATCTCCATTTCGTTTCCCAGGGCAGTACTGGAGCTTAAAAGAGAAGGTGGAGAGTGTAATAATAAGTAAAGGTTATCAGCTGTAGCTTCAGTGTGCTCATAGGAAACGTGACAAAAGAAAACAAATCACATTTCTCTTTATGGCCTATATTGTTGTCATCATCACCGTGGGCTGCATGGTGGCGCAGTGGTTAGCACTGTTGCCTCGCAGCACGAAGGTCGCAGGTTCAAAACTCACCTTTCTGCGTGGAGTTGCGTGTTCTCCCCATGCATGCGTGGGTTTCCTCCAGGTACTCCGGTTTCCCCCACACATCACAACATGCCCTACAGTTTATTAAAAAAAAAAAAAAAAAAAACTTGTACGTCGCTTTGGATAAAAGCGTCTGCGAAATGAATAAACATAAACGTAACGTGATTTACAGAATACATGTGAACAACTAACATTTCATGTTCTACCACAGGCGTTTCCCGTCATCCTCTAGGTTTTGCAGCAGAGGGAGAGCAACTGCAGCGCCTTGCTCTAAAATCTGTGGCCGCCTTGATCTCATGAGGTTATTGTTGCCTACGTATGCATGACGTCAGAGCAAGTCGGCGTCAATTCGGACACAAATCTAACCGGCATGCACTGCTCGCCGATCACTGCTGGTCTAATCTGCACAGAACTGGCTCATCTCGAACACAGTCAATGGCTCGAGTACAGCAAAGTGGAGTTGGTGATGTACTGCGTTTTATGCCGGAAGTATGCAACGACAAAATCGTGTTTTGTTGACGGAACAAACAAATTCAAACTTGGATACGTTATTATGTTTGTGAATGTGTACAAAATAAAGGTTTATTACATTTAAAACGGTTCAGTTGTTATTTTGACTCGTTTTGGCAGCTGACCAGCGGGGCCGGTAGATTCTTGGCAGGGCCGGTAAATATTCAGAGTTACCGGCCCGGCTGGCCGGTTGGTTTTGAAGTTAATGTCCACCCCTGATCAGTGATGTTACAGTACTTTAAACATAAATATCACAACTCCGACTGGTCGTTTTTAAACAGGAAATATATTAACAGCAGTCAACTACATGTCTTTATGGTGCTAACATTCATGTAGCATCATGGACGTAATTTTGGGGGGGGGGACAGGGGGGACATGTCCCCCCCACTTTTTCCAAAGTCAAGTTTTGACCCCTGCACTTTTTACCATCCAAAAACAATATTACTTTATATTTGACACTGGTTGAGCTCTAGGACCAAGCAGAAAACAACCTTTTGTGTTAAAGCCTGTTTCCTATTAGAACATACTGTAAAGATACCCCTCCCACCGCCACCCCTGTGTCCCCCCCATTTCTAAAGTGAAAATTACGTCCATGTGTAGCATCCCTTACCGGAGCTCGTGGTGAGATAGCTCGCCCGGCTGACGCAGCTTCCCACGGCCGTATTTCACAGAATTCAGATCCTAATAAATAGCCATCTGTTAATAGCTAGTTGGTGAAGATAAATTGCGAATTTAACTTTTATTTTAACTTTTCTTACCAGGATCTTTCAGTTAATCTGGCGGTTGCCTCGTGAGTAGGCTTTCACAACAGGAAATGTTGACTAACAGGAAGTCATCTCAAGGCATACTCGCCTCCTAGTGGCGGAGAGGGAAATTACACCTTCAACCATATGCCGCAGCACAAACCACAATTCTGATGTGGGTTACACAAGCAAACTACATGCATGTAATCCAGAGGAAACTGGGACACCATGCCAACACTACTGCCATGAAATGGATGTGGACCGCTATGATGATGATCATCATCGGCCTTGGTTTCAAATGAATGTCTGTTCTTAAAACAAAGTCTGTGCATGGATATGTCATGCGTCTGTTAATGTATTTTCCTGGTTGTGCACATTTGTCACAACAGTGGTAGGCATTGTGGTTCTTTGTGTTTTTATCAAAGGACCTGGCTGGTGTGTCACAAATGATGGTGTCAAGCTTGAGCTTCAAATTCTTACCCTCTAAATCACAACCTTGTTCAAGCCCTTTTAACTCTGTAACAAATTCTTCCAGAAACTCTTTTGCTGAGCTGGGTTTTGATGTTCCACGGTACAAACCTATAACTACAGGTTCTTTCATGGGAACACTTAGTAGTCCCAGAATGGGCCACAGTTGCAAACTAGAGCTTTTAAACAAAGGGAGTCCGTCTATATTTATTTGCAATTTTAATGTGAAATCGTCTGCAAGTTTATGTATGTACTTAGACAATGTTCTTCTGAGTGATGACAGAATACCAAAATAGTGGTACTGTCCACCTGCCCTTTCCAGAATTGAGTATTTGGTTTTAGTCCTAAACAATGTCCTACCATCCTTGGGAAGCTCAGGATGACGCATTCTAAGTATGCCCAAAAGTGCCGTCAAAGCAACCAAAGAAATGCCAAAATGTATGGCCCAGTTGGCAATGTTGTCAGACAAGGAAAATGTCTCTAAGTCATCCTCGTCAGAATGTTCTGAATCTGATGACTGGGCCTGATCATCACAGTCACCAACCACAAGCGTCTCAGACACATCAGTATTTACTTCCATGATACTTTCAGCAAAATACACTACAGGTTCTGAGACTGCACAAGCTGACTGAAGTGGACAACTTGAACCCATTTCTAAAAACTGTCCACTATCGTCCAATGTCACTCTGTTAACTGAAAGCTAGCCAACTCAGCGTTGTCATCCCTAATCTGCTGAAGTCGTTTTTCAACATCTATGCGTGTCCTTCATCGTAGGGTGGATCTGCAGACAGGCAAAGTTTTCCTATTCATCTAAAAGAGATGGTTCAGGGGGAAAAAAAAGATTAATTGTTCCTATAGTGTTAACTGAATTTGTCCAGTGCTAACAAGAATTTAACTAGCTAGTGAGCTCACTTCCTTGTGTAATTTCAGCTGTGTGTGTAAAGAGAAAATATGGGATCTACAAAAAAGGAGATAAATTAATTTCTCCACTCAAACCTGGGTAGTTCCTCCTCCTACAGAAAGGGTAATTTTGAATCTATACAATGAAGCTATGTTACCGAGCTGAAATTGATTACACACAGTGAGACGACCATAACATTTGTGGCCTTGTCAGTTCAGCTGACACTACCTTATTTTCTTTGAATAGGAATGGATTAATAAAGGCTTTTAAACTCATTATCACCATCCTAAGTGCCTAGTTGTGCCCTGTTCAAGTCTATGATAGTCGTGCCCTGTTCAATTCTATGATAGTCGTGCCCTGTTCAATTCTATGATAGTTGTGCCCTGTTCAATGCTATGACTAAATTAATAAATAAAATCAGTGTTAAAGATTGTCAAAAAATCTCATTTTCACTCACAACCCCCTAGATCCTGTTTACCCGTGTGTGTGTGTGAAACCTCCCAGCGCCCCACCCCATATCTTATCCTTAAGGCCACCAAAATATCCTTGATAAAATGATTAATGTGTTTTAGAGCCCTTTATGTGGAATATTGGAGAAATTTGTGCACTCGTATTTAACACGTAGTGATGTGGAAAATGTATTTGTCATTCAAAGACACCCCTAGCTCTAAAAGTTTATCTTAGCACTTTGGTTTAATTCGAATTGTAAACTAATCTCACTTTCAGTTAAAATAATCTAGCAGACATAATTGGTGATTTTAAACAATGCCAACCCATACTAACTTAGTTACTTTGGAATTCAAGCTCTAAAAACGTAAAATTTTAAATCCTGTTTGAAAGCAAAGTCTGCCAACAGGAACCATGAAATCATCTGCCTTGGTGATAGTTCTTGGTCCACTGTAAAGGGCTGTTTTCTGACAAAACCTGAAATAAAGAAGAAATGGGTTTTTGTATGTTGTAAGAGTCAAAGACCACACAGTGGTTTGATTCTACATGGTCTCAGAACAAAGAGCAGGCAAACACAAGGCGCCAAAATTAACATTTTCACTCACAACCCCCTACATCCTGTTTACCTGTGTGTGTGTGTGTGTGTGTGTGTGTGTGTGTGTGTGTGTGTGTGTGTGTGTGTGTGTGTGTGTGTGTGTGTGTAACCTCCCAGCGCCTCACCCCATATCTTATCCTTAAGGCCACCTAAAATATCCTTGATAAAATGATTAATTTGTTTTAGAGCCCTTTATGTGGAATATTGGAGAAATTTGTGCACTCGTTAACACGTAGCTAGTGATGTGGAATTGTCATTCAAAGACACCCCTAGCTCTAAAGGTTTATCTTAGCACTTTGTTTACTTCGAATAAGATTGATTTTTGAGCGCTTTATAAGGCCTTTATGCTTTTAGCTTTGCATACACAATCATTAATCGCCTGGAAACCCAAACAAAAGCAAAAGTTCCCGAAACAGTACTGTAACTATGGTTAGCATGTTGCTGTAGTTAGCATCTGCATCTCTCAGAGTGCTCAGTTAAACAGAGGTTACGTTTTAAAAATGTAAATACACTTTGTCTATCGGAAAAAGAAAACTTGTTACCCTCAAAAACATGAATGTGTAACTTACCGGAAAAGATTTGTAAACCAACGTCGTTGCTTCGCGCTGACGTCGTTAGGTCCGTTTCTAGAATAATCACAAGCCCCCCTATCATTTTGGTTTATTTTATTTTATTTTTTTCAGTTAACTTTTTTTATTTGTTCACATCTACATGCTCAACACAATCACGACATGTGTAGTTGGTACATGAGTTTTTTAGTCTGAAACAGAAATAATAATTAATGAATATAAAACTACACCGTCGCACACAGGAAGTATCAAGAAAGGACTTCCTCCCCTTCCCGCAGCTTTGTTGACAAGTCAGGGGGCGGGTCGATACAGAAAAACCTATATATCGATGAGCAAACCCTGCTCAGCGCTCATGTAAGTCACTCAACATCACATTAGGGTAAGACAGCAACAGCAGCACACCGTTAATATTTCAAGGTTATAGTTCAGACTTCAGATAGAAGAAAATGCTACCGCACCGACATGCTAATGCTAACTCCGCTAGCATGTTTACATGCCACAAACCATAATGAAAAGCTTTGATGTCAAGTAAAATGGTCAGAAAACTCCCCTGAAGTGACATGATTAATGGGTCAGCCAGTTCATTGAGTGACAGTGCCACCAACTTGAGCGTACAGTAATGAGTCTGCACAAACAGAACCTGCTCTGCGCTTGTGTGCAAGAGCTGCAGCCCTCTGTGTGGGCTCAACTCTGTCTCTGCGCATGCAAATCTCTCCCTGCTCTCCTCAACAAGTAGCCTCTCCAACAGTCAATCACAGACAGCTCTGTTTTATCCAATCAAAGCATGTCCAGGAAACACTGCTTTACAGAAAAACACCAATTTAACAGCTTATTGAACTGCTTTCTGCTGCTGGTTAGCTACCAGTCACCATCCACTGCCTGCAAAATAATTTGTTGTAATGCATGTGTCATGATTAGGGTGACCATATTTGACTTCCAGAAAAGACACATTGCCTATTCCTAAAACTGTTAAATTGCACTCTTTTCAGTTAAAGAGGACTTTTAATTTCAACATATAAAGTGTTTCTTCTCTGTTTGGTCAGACATAAATGATCCCTTGATGTGTAAAAGGAAGTGAACAGTGGAAATGTCCCAGGAAAAGAGGAGGGTTAATCAACCTAATTAAATATAATTATATTAAGTCCTCTTTATCTGAAAAAAGTGCAATTTTCCTGGCAGTATTTCCTGGACATGCTTTGATTTCATAATGGAGAGCTGTCTGATTGGCTGACGGAGAGGCTACATTGCTTTAAAAATTGCAAATTGAGCAACAACAGGGAGATTTGTGCAGGCAGAGACGGAGTTGAGCATGCAGAGAGAGGGCTGCATATGACTGCAGAGCAGGTGTTGCTCTTGCAGACTGATCACTGCACGCTCCAGTTGGTGGCACAAAAATCACTCCACACTAAAAACCTGAATCAGAATATGGCCGAATGTGTATATTATTGACCATTTTTCTATATTATATATTTTTTCTATAATATATATATATATATATATATATATATATATATATATATATATATATATATATATATATATATATATACATATATATATATATATTATAGGTACATATATGTATCTATAATATAGTAAACAGCCAGTTTTATATATGTCACATATATTCAAAAGCTACATCAAAACATATATTAAAACCTATATGTTTATGACTTCTTTCCATGTGGGTTGTCAGTTGCTTAATATTTCCTATGTTTACCTATGGGAAAGAAAGGAGATATTGTACTCGTCTAACTTTAACATAAATTTTGGCAGCTTAATGTGACGTTATGGACAATGCCATCATCATGAGCAACCAAACATAGGCTATATTAGAATCAGAATCAGAATCAGAAAAGGTTTATTGCCATTGTCAATGAACAAGCAGTTCACAAACTAGGAACTTGTTTCGGTACTAATGTGCCACATATAACATGAATAATAAATTTCAGAAATAGAATAAGTAGAATAAAATATAATAAAACTAGCATAAAACATTCAGCTATAAAAAAGGCAGGTAGTGGTAACATGGCCGATAACGTGACGTAGTGTCGAGTACAGAAGACGAGCATGGTTGTGTGTTTATAAGCTATTTACAAGTCTAACGGCAGATGGAAAGAAGCTGTTCTTATGGCGGGAGGTTCTGGTCTGGATGGACCGTAACCTCCTGCCTGAGGGAAGCGGCTCAAAAAGTCTGTGTCCCGGGTGAGAAGGGTCAGCTGCAATCCGGCCTGCACGCCTCCGAGTTCTGGAGACGTACAGGTCCTGGAGAGATGGAAGGCTGCAGCCAATCACCTTCTCAGCGGAGCGCACAATGCACTGCAGTCTATGTTTGTCCCTCACCGTGGCTCCAGCGTACCACACAGTGATGGAGGAGGTGAGGATGGACTCAATGATGGCCGTGTAAAACTGCACCATCATCTGGGTCGGCAGCTTGGCCTTTTTCAACTGCCGCAGAAAGTACATCCCCTGCTGGGCCTTTTTGATCAGGGAGCTGATGGATGGCTCCCACCTAAGGTCATGTGTGATGGTGGTTCCGAGGAAGCGGAAGGAGTCCACAGTGGTGACGGGGGTGTCCGTCAGGACGAGGGGGAGAGATGGGTCTGTGACTTTCCTGAAGTCCACAATCATCTC